AGTCTTAGAGATCTTGCTGTGGGCCAGGGTAGAGAATGAATGTGAGATGTGTAGGGGACTACAGGCGACTGTAATACTGGGGAGCTGGGAGGCTCAGAGGACTCCAGGGAATTTCCAGTCACCTGGTCTCCTCCATCCTGAGGGTCCCAGCTCTACAGAGCTCTGGACTCAGGCAGGTCTCAGTTCATATCCAGCCTCTGCCTCTGTGATGGATTAGATCCAGTAACATTCACCATCCTACCCTCCCTCAATTCCCTGGGAGGAGTGGATTTACTTGCTGCAGCCATGGCTGAGCCTTGGGACTTGCTTTGACTAATGGTGTGTTCACAGGCAAGATGCCCAGAAACTTGAAGCACTCATATGCTGCTGGGCTTGCTCTCTTATGTCCCTGTCATTTCCCTGAGAAGAACATGCGTGGGTGGGTCTGCTGCTCCCAGGAGAGGATGGGAGAAATGTGGAGCAAAGCTGGACATCCCAGCAGAGCCCATCCTAAATAAGCCAGCCAACAGGTCATGAGCTAAGTAAATGCTTATGTCATATGCTGAGAGCTTTTGCAGGGTGTTTGTTATGCAGCACTCCTGTGGCCCCCATTGGCTGATACAGCCTTAACAGCTGTGTGACTTGGGCAGGCTGGCTTCCCACATGGAGATCCAGGGAGGAAGGCGGGACTTGGTAGAGCTCATGGAAAAACCTTTGTGAGCCCAAGAAGAACTCTGAGAATTTCTTCTCCCTAAATTTTCTGTCCTGTACTGGAAGTAGGGCATCTCTAGGAGGACTACTCTAACTTCTAGGGGATGAACGAAGCCACAGGCAATGGTAGAAAAGACACAGGTGGGCTGGTGAGGCTGTAGGGAGATGGGTCCTCCCTAGTGTGGCTGGTGGGAGTGTGAATGAACCATACCTCCCAGGGGGCTATTTGGCAACATGTGTATTTCAAACTCAGAATTATACTTACAGGTATGTTTATGCTACACACACACACACACACACACACACACACACACACACACACTCAAAACTCAGAATTATACTTACAGGTATGTTTATGCTACACACACACACACACACACACACACAACACCAAAAAACCCCACTTGCACAGGTGCACAAGAAACATTGTTAGATGAGCAGCATGTCATTGTTTAAATAGCAGAAAAATTAGACACAACTAAAATGTCCATGGTGAGGGCGACAGTTAAATAAACTGTGGATATCAATGCCATGGAACACCCTCCGGTGGCTAAAAATAATGAGGCAGACCTTTATGTGCTATCATGGTCGAGACTCAAAGACATATCTTTGAATTCAGTTCCCTAGGGACAGCATAATTTTTTTGCCAAAACACAAAACAAATAAAATGGGATGAAACACTATAGTTTTGTTTTTTCTAAAACACAAAACAAATAAAACTGAATCAAACAGCACACTGGGGTAACAGTTTCCTCCGAGGAAAATGCCAGGGAAAAAGAATGGGAGTGCATGGGTTAAATAAACTCTAGCTTTTCCTGTAATATTATAATTTTAAAAGAGACTATATCTTTATTGTCACTTATGTCCTTAAAAATTAATTTGAAACTATGAATAAGAAAAGACCTGGATGTGGGGGCAAACGGGCTTGGGTTGCAATCCCAGCTATGCCACTTACTTGAGGTGTTAATTCTGAGTGTGTCCCTTCTGCCTTCAGGCCCCAGTTCATGGGGATGCTGACGTCTACTGTGAAGGGCTGGCCATGGGAAGAAAGGAGATGGTGCCTGCAGAAGGCCTGACATAACGTCTGGGTACAGGGAGGGGCTCATGAAAGTCAGCAGAAAGTGATGGACAGGTTTATCTGGAAGGTGCACAGCCCAGGCTGCACATGCCTGTGCGCCCTTATTTCCTTGGGAATCCTTCCAGGCCCACCGAGCACATGAGGACCCTGGCAACATCCCAGGGAGTGAGGGCTGGGGCCCAGCCAGGGCAGCACTCGAGCTTGCACGATGGCATTTCAGGGCGTGAGAAGCATGTCATAGTCATGCTCTGTGACCTTGAGTGGGGAGGTCAGGGAAATGGCACTGACTTCTGCAGTGACCTCCAAAACAACGAGAGTTATGAGCCCCTTAGGGCTGCTGATGGGGTGGAGGGGACCCCCTCCCATTCCCCCTGCAGGCTGTTAGTGACCGCGGAGGGCTCCTGAAGTTTCACTGGAATGCTTGCAATTCTGGTGGGAGATGTGTGTCTGGGGCAGTGATCGTTTCCTGCTTGAGTGACCATGCAAAAGCCACCTAAACTCGCTGAGCCCCGTTTCCTCATCTGTACAATGAGGATGATAAACTCTTGCTCAATACCTGGTCCTGAGGACCACATGGGGTTGGGTGATCTACGGTGACCCTCCAGGTACTTTGTGAGAGCTCAGGCGCTGTGAATGGAATCGGATTCTCCATCTCACCCAGCTCAGCTGAGATGAGATCTGAAACCGATTCCCTCAATCTGGGCTACTGAGAAACTCCCTAGCACCCACCATGCTTCCAGACTGTTTTTGAACACTGCCTGGCCCAGGGTGCACCAGCGGTGTTTCCCTCTAGAACTTCCCGGCTGCCGGAGTCCATCCCCCCATGCTCCGCACACTGCAGCTCCCTCCCCAACTCAATAGGGCCCCACTCACCCCATGTCCCATTCTTTCTCTAATTTCACTGTAAATTTAGGTACACACCCATCTCTCTGGAGGGCGTGAGTCCCTGATTCCTTTGGGTGCCCAGGATGTAGCTTGAGGTCTGCAGTGGGCAGGTCCTCATGAAATGTTACCATTGACCCTCGCTTGCTGTGGGCTCCTCACGTGCCCTCTGCCTCTGCCTCTGATCTATTTCCCCAACAGAAGTCCAAATGCTATATTCATGAGACAGTCCTTGTCCTTTTAGCCCCACTGCTGGACGAGGTATGATTCTCAATGCAGCCGCCAGGCCCCCGCTGCCCGACACCTGCTCTGGTGCCGCACTCCCTGCGGTAGTTCTTGCTGGCCTCTCCGGTCTCCTTCCCCTTTCCCCTTTGCCTAGTTGGCAATAATGGCTTTTGCTTTTCTTCTGATTCCCACTGGTGGAATCTGAACCTTCTGGAACAGGATTCTGGAAATTGTAGTTTTCAGGCTTCACCCCGGGCTGGTTTCCTATAAATTGCCCCAATATTCATCGCACTCATGGTCAGGGTTTGCGGTTAGCAGTTCAGGCAGGGACAGCTCATCAGCTCAGCTCGCTACCTCCACCTTTCCCAAGCCTCCCTCACACAGGCCTTTCCCCTGAAACATATTTTGAGCAGAGCAGTTCCTGTGAGCTTTGATTTACTCACAATCTCTTCTCCGCTTCCTGTGAAGATTCAAGGTGTGTCTTAATGGTTTCTTCTGCGAGGCCTGAAGTTCAGAATCCCACACTTCCAGTCTCCCCGCTTCCTCCCCAGGGGATACTGCTCACGGCTGGTATCACGATCATCAGACAGTGTCCTTGACGCTGGCCAGCTCCCTTCCTTCTCAGAAATCCTCATCAGCATCTTTGGGATTCTTTCCTTGCACAAAATCAGTGAATTTTCTCTNCGTGCCCTCTGCCTCTGCCTCTGATCTATTTCCCCAACAGAAGTCCAAATGCTATATTCATAAGACAGTCCTTGTCCTTTTAGCCCCACTGCTGGACGAGGTATGATTCTCAATGCAGCCGCCAGGCCCCCGCTGCCCGCCACCTGCTCTGGTGCCGCACTCCCTGCGGTAGTTCTTGCTGGCCTCTCCGGTCTCCTTCCCCTTTCCCCTTTGCCTAGTTGGCAATAATGGCTTTTGCTTTTCTTCTGATTCCCACTGGTGGAATCTGAACCTTCTGGAACAGGATTCTGGAAATTGTAGTTTTCAGGCTTCTTCTGGAACAGGATTCTGGAAATTGTAGTTTTCAGGCTTCACCCCGGGCTGGTTTCCTATAAATTGCCCCAATATTCATCGCACTCATGGTCAGGGTTTGCGGTTAGCAGTTCAGGCAGGGACAGCTCATCAGCTCAGCTCGCTACCTCCACCTTTCCCAAGCCTCCCTCACACGGTTCTGCCTTTCCCCTGAAACATTTTGAGCAGAGCAGTTCCTGAGGCCTTTCCCCTGAAACATATTTTGAGCAGAGCAGTTCCTGTGAGCTTTGATTTACTCACAATCTCTTCTCCGCTTCCTGTGGTTCTGCCTTTCCCCTGAAACATTTTGAGCAGAGCAGTTCCTGTGAGCTTTGATTTACTCACAATCTCTTCTCCGCTTCCTGTGAAGATTCAAGGTGTGTCTTAATGGTTTCTTCTGCGAGGCCTGAAGTTCAGAATCCCATACTTCCAGTCTCCCCGCTTCCTCCCCAGGGGACACTGCTCACAGCTGGTATCACGATCATCAGACAGTGTCCTTGACGCTGGCCAGCTCCCTTCCTTCTCAGAAACACTTCCAGTCTCCCCGCTTCCTCCCCAGGGGATACTGCTCACGGCTGGTATCACGATCATCAGACAGTGTCCTTGACGCTGGCCAGCTCCCTTCCTTCTCAGAAATCCTCATCAGCATCTTTGGGATTCTTTCCTTGCACAAAATCAGTGAATTTTCTCTTGGCCTGATTTCTTACTTGCGTCTCCCTCAGCTACTCTCTATTGTGGGCTTCCTTGATTGGCACGTTTTCCATTTTAAAGATGTCTTTTTCTCTCACTTAACAAAGACATCTCTGTGTCTGACAATTTTGGAAATATTCCACTCCACAAACACTGACTGAGCAGCTACCCTGTACCTGGCTCACCCGGTGAGTGGGATGAAGGCCTAGTCCTTCTCACCAGCCCTTCTTTCATTTTCGATGTGGTCTTTGAAGATGAAACCTAGCTTCCAGCAAACCTCCTTACTTTTTATGGCAATTTTCAATTTGGCCTTTACCCCAGAATTTTATCATAACTCTTCTTCTAAATCAAGACACCGTATGATGAAGTTTGGAGAGTATTTCCTCACCAGGAAGTTAAAAAATAAAACCGCAAGGCAGCATCTGTTTCAATGGTTTTATTGGAACACAGTGGTAACACAGAACATGGGTGCAGGGTCCCACCACAGATGTTCCTCCTCCAGGAAGCATGCACCCCACTTCTGCTACCAGCGCATGCTCCAGGACACCTCCAGAAGGATAGGGGCGGCCAGCCACAGACCTGAAGGAGTCCTCTGCAGTGGCAGGTGGCGCTGGGCACCTTGGGTGGGAGCCCTGTGCTGCCGAGTCTGTGATCAGCTGGACCAGTTTATTTGCACTCAAGGTCTTATGCCTCCAGCTCCTTGGCCATGACTTAGAGACCCACCTGCCTCAGACTCCTAGGAAAACTTCTGAGGAAGGGATTCTGGGGCTTCCAGAAGGAATTCAGCCAAAAGACTAAGCATCTCTAGGGGTGATATGGGCAAATCATATCTTCAGTTTCATTGGCAGATAAACTGCTGAAAGTATCTGCTTTGCCCACTCTCTGTGCTCTATATTTTCTCTGCTCATTCATCCAACAAATATTTATTGAGCTCCTTCTATGTGCTAAACACTCTTCTAGGGGATAGACTTTGGTCAACAAAAACAGGCAGGACCCATGGCCTCATGAGTAGAGGAGACAGACAAGGTTCAAGGAATCACACAAATGATCATGTAGCGTTATAGCCTTGTCAGTGGCTTCCAAGGAAAGTGCTGAGGGTGTGCTGCAGGGGGCCTGACCTCGTATGGAGGGTCAAGGACGACTTCCTCAAGGAAGCGACATTTTAGCTGAGATCTCATGGACCTACGTGGCCCAAAAGGCCTGAAGAGCATTCTGAGACATGGAAACAGCACCGTGCCCATCCTGGCAGCTGGAAGGAGCAAAGTGAGTTAAATAACCACAAAGGAAGAGGCCAGTAGGGCTGGAGTGAAGTGATGAAGGGGAGCATGTGCAGGAGGAGGCTGAGGGACATGTAGGGCTGACCACGCAGGGTCTGAGGGCCATGCTGAGATGGTTTTACCATGTGTGTGAAGTGGTCAGGTCTGCATTTTGCACAGTTCACTTTGGCTGTTGGGTGGAGAGTGGACTGGAGGAAGGGGGGCAGCCAATGCAGAGAAGAGGTGTCAGAAGCTGTTCCAATTGTCCTGGTGGAGACGATGGTGGTCGGATTGAGGGATGACAAGGCAGAGAGAATGAAGAGGATGGCGGATCCACGTGGGAGCTAGGACTTGAGAGGGCTGACCACGAGGACTGAGGTGAAAGGAGGTGCCAAGGTTGACCCTCAGCCTTTGAAGCCCACGGTGGGGCTTTTTTTCTGAGAAGAGGGACTCTGGGAGAGGTGCAGGTGCAGGGAGAGGTCAAGAGTGTAGGTGTGGACAGGCTAAAAGTGAGGAGCCTTTGAAACATCCAGGTGGAGGTGTTGTGGGGGCAGCGGTAGGTCTGAAGCCTCCCTAAGAAGCCTGGCTGCAGTTGTAAATCTGTGAACAATCATCTCGTGCCTTGCAACTGAAGTCACGGGTGTAGATAGGTGGAGTCACAGAGGAAGAGACGTTGAAGTGAGAAGAGAAAGAAGACTCAGGACTGAGCCGTGGGGAATGGCCACCTTTAATGTCCAGGTAGAGGATGATGAGTTGCAAAAGAGACTGAAAAGACGTGGGTGGACAGGGAGGTGGAAAACCAAGAGGGGTCTTGGAAACTGAGGCAGAGCAGGTGTCAGGAGGGGCAGTGGTCAGCGAGGAGGGATGCCACTGAGAAGCCCTGGGGGTGGAAGTCTATTGACACCCTCATCTCCTGGGGTCTCTTCAACAATCCTGTAAATAGGAAAGGATAGCTTACTCCCTTGGACAGAGGAGTGAAAAGCTGCTTAGAGGGTCTGGTGATGTGCCCCGGCTCACACAGCCAGCAGACGGCGCTGCTGGGCCAACTCCCCCTTTCACCATCTACATTTCCTCCACCTCCGGCTCTCCCTCCCTTGCGCCTGGTCAACGGGCATGCTTCCTGGCAAGTCCTCTGCACACCACTTCTAGTTGATGACAAGCACCAGAGAGAGTCATATGGTAGCTTGGAGGAATCCCCAGCCTCTGGGGTATAAGCCTTGCCAGGAGGAGGGTAGGCTGAGTCAAAGAAATGCCTGACCTCTCTCCTGAGACGCAGTAGTGTAGAGTCAAGAGCACGGGCTGAGGCCTGACTTTCATGCAATCTCCCATCCATCCATCCATCCAACAAATATTTTCTGAGCGCCTTCTACGTGCCAGGCACACTTTCTAGCTGAGTGTCTTGGGCAGGCCTCATATTTTTCTAAGCCTCGGTTTCCATCTCTGTAAAGTTGGGGTGGTGATCTCTACCATAAGCTCATGTTGGTATAAGGATTATGAGAGCTCACACAGGTGAAGTATCTGGCACACAGTGGGTATTTGTTAAAGGCTAATTTCCTTCCTTTCCTTCCTCTTGCAGAACCCATGAGGGAGTGAGAGGCCAATGCTTTATAGCAATACCCTCTGCCTTGCTCAGACAACACATATGTTCCTACAGGTACACATCTATGCACACACATGTGCACACATCCCTGTATTTCCTGCTGTTTCTCTTCATAGGGCCAGCAGCACCAGTGTGAGCTTTGAACCCATGGGATTCAGCACAGCTGGCCCCAGAGGAGTCCTGAGTACCCGTCTGGGAATGCTCAGCATGCTAGGCCAGAATACCCCAGTGCCTGCCGTGTGCTTTAGGAACCGCCAGACTCAGTCTAGGGTGCATCCTCGGTGGCTTTGGGGGCTGGGTCCTTCGTGGCTCCAGGAGTCAAATCTCAGTGAGCAGGAGCAGTATCTTCAGTGTCCTGGGGCTGTGTCTAGACAGTCTCGGAGGGCAGTGTCCTCACTACTTCCTGGGGTGGTGTCCTCAGTGGCTCCTCAGACAGTGGCTCCTCCAATTGCTTCTTCAAGGGGCCTCCCATGTGTCTTTGGAGGAACCTAAGCCCCCACAGGCTCTTGCAGCAGCTCAGGAGATTGCTGGAGCACATGGTGCAGGACAGTGCTGGCTTCCTGAGGAGACACAAGCACAGGTCAGGGCTGAGGTGGCCACTGAGCAAGGCCCGTGGGGCCAGGGCTTAGCCTCTCAACTTTGCTTCTACTAAGGCGGGCCCCACGAAGGGTGGGATGGGCTGAGCCACAGGACCCTTTGCCGCCCAGGCTGTCCACAGATGGGGCCAGGGCTTAGCCTCTCAACTTTGCTTCTACTAAGGCAGGCCCCACGAAGGGTGGGATGGGCTGAGCCACAGGACCCTTTGCCGCCCAGGCTGTCCACAGGCAACAGAGACTTCCCTTCAACTCACAAGGAGGAGCATTCAGTAGATCTGCTTTCAAATCCCAACTCTGCTTCTAACATGCTGGGTGACCTTGGTCAAGTTACTTAACTTCTCTGAATCTCAAATTGATGTAAAAATATCTACCTTTCCAACTCTTGAAATAATTCAGTGTTAAGAAATACATGTTAAAGCATGCCACACATAGGCTGGCTCATAGTAGGAGCACAGTTAGTGTTTGCAATTTCCAAATCTTAATGAAATGGGTGCAGAGCATTTATAGCATGCATTGCATAGGCTGGGGGAGGTTGGGAGAAAAAGACTCAAAGATTTACTCTGCCTTGCATTAACATCAGTTGTGAACACATTGGGAGATCACAGTCCCTTTTCCCCTCCCTTCCACATAGAGTGAGGGGCAAGCACTGTGCCTCTCTGTAAAGTCTATCTGACGTCAGGTGTGGGTTTGGAGCCTGGCTTTGCAAGGGTTTGTGAGCAGGGACATAGCCTGTAACACCCTCACTGTGTGGGCACATCCTGGCTGGGCCACTGCTGGAGGCCTGGTGTGACCCAAGCTCTCCCTGTAGCTTGGTCAGCCCCTCCCTCCCCAGAACCCCCACCCTCACCTGCACCTCAAGGTCACGCCTCTGGCATTTCAGAGGCTTCAGGTGTCCTTTTCCATGGTAGCAGTGTACATATTTGACCAAGCAGGCGGGTATCTGCCCTTGGGTTAACATTCCAGACACGGCTTGTGGCTCTGGGAAAATGACTCTCACTGAAAACAGTGAAATTATTGAAGAAAATCTAACTCCAAGCTAGGAAATAACTACCTCTCTTCTTCTAGAGGGCTTAAAAATCACTTACAATAGTACTCTTTTGGAAATATCACATGTTCATAGTAAAATGTCAGAACACAAAAATTGACAAATAATTCCTCTACTCAGACATATCTTTTTGTTACATTCAGTCATTAAATATTTTAAAATAAAATACATCAGTCATCCAAAGAGACTCTATGTAAAGCACATAATCATGGTTTAAAGAATATTAAAATAAATACCAGTGTAACCATCTCTTAGGTTAAGAAACTAAACTTTACCAGCACCTGACTTGTTTAATCAAACTCTTCTATCCTTAAACAATACAGTGTGTTGTTCTGCCTGCATTTTACCTTTATGTAAATGTGTCATGATTTTTTTTCTGTACTGAACTTTTTGTTGTTGTATAACATTATGTTTTGGGGATTAAACAGTGTAGACGGGCTCACCGCTATGCCATTTTCACTGTCATAGAGGATTCCATTGCATGAGTGTACTTCAGTGTGTTTACCCATTGTTTCCAGTTTGCTGCCGTTACAAAAAATACTGCTTGGGACATCCCTAGACCTGTCCCCTGGTGCACACGTGTAAAAGTTTCTTTAGAGTAGTTATCTGGAATTCAATTGCTAAGTCGTGAGTGTAGATGGCTCCATTCACATTTAGTAGGTTTGGGCAAATTGCTTTCCAAAGTGCCGGTACTGGTCCCCTTCCCATCAGTGGGGCAGGAGAAGGCCATTGTTTTATTACGTACTCACCAACATCTGGCTTTGTTGGGCTTCTTGAAATTTTGTGTCTGGTGGGTGTGAAATAGAATCTCATTTTTCTTTAAATTTATGTTTCCCTGATTACTAATGAGGTTGAAGTCCTTTTTGTTTTTATTGGCCCTTCACATTTCTTCTTTGAAATGCCTGTTTATGGATGGTCTTCTATCCATTTCTTTACTTTTTTCTTCCTCCCTTCCTTTCTCTTCCTTCCTCATTCTCTTTTCTTCTCTTCCTTTCTTCTCTCCCCATCCCGCTCCGCCCCCTGCCTTTACTTACTGATGCACAGAGGTCTTTACATATGTCTGATTACCACCACTTTGATTTGTGTTGCAAATCTCCTCCCAGTTTGTGGCTTGTCTTTTCACTCGCTTTATTATGACGTCTTTAGAAAAACAGAATTTCTTAATTTCAATAGTCAAGTTTATCTATTTTCCCTTTGTGGTTTGGTTTCTTGGTCCTTATCTAAGAAATCCTTTCCTACCTCAAGGTCACAAATATATCCTATATTTTCTTGTAAAAGTTAAATTTTTGTTTTTTATATTTAACCTATCGGGAATTGGTTTTTGTGTATCATGTGAGATTCAATGTTGTTTTATTTCCTCATTTCCTCTACCTTGTCCCCCAGTTTCAATATCCAAAGACTATTTATTGACTTTTTCCCACTGATCTATAGTGCTAGCCGAACTCTCTGTTCTTTTCCGCTGGTCTGTCTGTCTGTCCTTGCAGCACTGTCACAAGGGCTTAATTGCTATATCTTATTTTTTTCCCTTGAGAAGTCTTGGCTATTCCTGACTTATTCTTAACTATGTAAATTTTAGAATCAGCTTGTCAGTTTCTAAGAGAACACTGCTTGGATTTTAATGGGAATTGTTCTGAATGTACAAATTAATTTGGTGAGGACAAACATCTTCATACTATTGAGTCTAGTATCTACAAGTTATCTGAATTAATATGAGAGGCATAACAAGGTTATTGGGCATGAGATCAATATATAAAATTCAGTGTCACATATGGAGCTCAATTCTCTGTCTATGTATCAGCAACAGATAGTAAATGTAATCTATAAAAAGGATACTGCTTACAATAACAACAAAAATCACAAGACACTGAAATACTAATTTAACAACAACAACAGAAAAAACTCCAAATTTTTATGAAGAAAAATATAAAATGATTGAAAGATATTTACTTAGGTCTTCTTCAATGTCTAATTTTATAACTGTTATTATAAGTGGTACTTTATGAAAGTTGACAAGGTACATTGATTTTACGTCTGGCAATGCTGCTGAATTCTCTCATTCACTGTAATAATTTGTCTGTAGGTACTTTTTCGTTTCTATATACATGATGGTTATTAACTATGAATAACAATAGTTTCCTTCTTTTCTCATTCTTTTTTCTTTTTCTTATCTTTCTGTGTTGACCTCCAGTAAGACATTGGATAGGAGTGTGATAACCAGGCCTGTTCCTCATCTTCGAAGTGTTTCATTAATACTTCTACACATTAAGAAAATTCTCTTCAACTCATAGTGTGCTGAAATTTTGTTTTTTGTTTTTCAAATCATGAATGGTACTAAAGTCTGTCCAATATTTTTTCTGCTTCTATTGATATAATCATAAAATTTGTTTTTTAATTCATTGATGAGCTTAGTTACATTAATAAAATTCCTAATACTAAAGCTACTTCTCTTCTGTATAAATCTAACTTGGTTATGAGGTATTGTATTTTTCTTTAAAAAATATTGCTGGATTGCGTTTGCTAATACTTTGGAATTTTTGTACTTGTGCTCTTGTTTCTGATTATATTGTAATTTTCCTTCTCATACTCATGTTTGTTAAAAATTTATTTATTTATTTTTAATAATTTATCCATTTATTCATATTATTATTATTTTTATGTTCTAAGATGTTGTTATGGAGCAATTGTGGGTGAGGGGGAGAAGGGAAGAGGAAGGAAATAGGGTGGGAGGAGTAGGAAGGGGGTGCTGGTTGAGGCCCGTGGCACCCCTCTCATTCCATCAGGGGAGATCAGGGGGTTTCCAGCAATGGCTCAGTCATTGCTGGGCTGGATGCAGATTTCAGGTGGGTGTGGCTGAGGCCCTCAGTCCTCCACTGCCCCAAATCAGGAGTCTTGGGTGCTTTCTGTGGTGATTGGTGGTTGTCGCTGGGCTGGTTGTGGATATTGTGGGGTGTGTCTGAGGCTGTTGGCCCTCTATTGCCCTGGCTTGGGAGCCCAGGGGCTTCTGGTCCTTCTAGATTTTATAGGTGTTCTTAGGTGTTCTATAGGTGTTTTAAAGGTGTTAGGCCTTTACTAGTTAATATCAAACTTTGTCTCTGATCTGTGGGTATTTTGTTTTTTCTTTTCAGTTCTGTGTTCAGTTCTATTCACTGTTTCCACCACTCAAATTGCACTGGAACTAATTTGTTGTCCTTTGCTTTCTTCTGTAATGGGGGAACTTCTGTGGGAACCAGCACTTGAGCCCTGTAGTTGAGCTAAATTGCCACTTTGCTGCTAATTCTCTGGGGAAGGCTTTTTGTGCAGCTCAGGTTTTAACTGTTGACATTGTATGTACTTCTGGGTCTTGTGAGATCTGGTACACCTGGGTTGTGTGGAAACTCTGGTCTGGGCCTGAGTCTTTTCAGCAAACTGTACCTGCCGCCATTCTATGTTACTGACCAGTCTCTGCTGAGTGGTCCTGTGCTGATTGGAAGGCAGATCAGCTGTCCATGCTGTGCCTCAGGGTTACCCTGGTGGGCCCTTCTCCCCCACCACCCTTACTCCAAACACTTCCCATGGGATGGACTGTGCTCTGGTCCCTTGCAATGATTCACCAGTCTCTGAGCATTTCCTTTTTTCTGTTGTCTGCGGCTCCTTGCTCCTATATGGGTCCATAGGAACCCTGTTAGTGGTCTGGCTGGCCTGAGGGCCACCGAGACACTCTTCTCCTCTGCCACCTCCAAGTAACTTCATATGAAAGGCACAGCTGTGGCTTTTGCCAGCTCTCACTCCGTGTGCTCACCAGCTCCAGCCTTGAAGCGATGGGGGCTCAAAATGGTGGGAGTGGTCCTTTTGTTCTCTCTTCATGGCTTCTCCCCCTTCATGAACTCTGTAGGTCTCTCCTCCTCTTCCTCTCAGCTCTAGCAGCCCCAGCTTGGCTGTC